TAGTGGTTAGAATGCAGTACTGCAGGCTACTTGTGCTGCCTGCTGGCTGCCTGAAATTTGGTAGTTCAAATCCCACCAGGCTCAAAGTTGACTCAGCCTTCCATCCTTCTGAGGTGGGTAAAATGAGGACCCAGATTGTTGGGGGCAATAGGCTGATTCTGTGAATTGCTTAGAGAGGGCTGTAAAGCACTGTGAAGCAGTATAAAAGTCTAAATTCTATTGCTATAGACCAGTGTTTCTCAATCTTGGCTAATTGAAGATGTCAGGACTTCAACTCCCAGAATTCCCCAGCCAGCATTTGCTGACTGGGGAATTCTGGGAGTTGAAGTCCGGACATCTTCAAGTTGCCAAGGTTGAGAAACACTGCTATAGACACAAATGCTACCAAAAGTATTGATTACCCTCTAGTTCCCCCCCCCCCACTTCCCCCCAAATCCTCAATTTTCTTCCTCTTTCAGAAATTCAAGCAGCTGAGCTTCTTCCTATCCAGAGGTCACATGGTGCCATCCAGGAAGCGAGCACCATTTGGGATTTTTGAATCACAAGAATTCTGGCTGCTCCCCAAAGGGTGCCTACTTTAGAATATTACCATGCGGCTTTTCTATAGGAAGCCTGCAAGGTGTTTCTTCTTGGGAAAGACAACCCTTGGAAGAGAAGCGGAGCGAGGCATGATGGGGCAGGAAGCAGGCCTAAAGCCATGGGGGGTGCAGTAGTTAGAATGGAGTATTGGAGGCTAATTCTGCTGACTGCCAACTGCCAGCATTTCGGCAGCTCGAATCTCAGCAGCTCAAGATTGACTCAGCCTTCCATCCTTCCGAGATAGATAGAATGAGGGCCCAGATTGTTGGGGGCAAGAGGCTGACTCTGTAAACTGCTTAGAGAGGGCTGTAAAGCACTGTGAAGTGGTATATAAGTCTAAATGCTATTGCTATTGCTATTGCTTATGGCAGTGTTTCTCAACCTTGGTGACTTTAAATCCTGTGGACTTCAACTCCCAGAATTCCCCAGCCAGATAGCTGGGGGATTCTGGGAGTTGAAGTCCACAGGACTTAAAATCGCTAAGGTTGAGAAACACTGGCTTATGGAGACCCAGCCTGTTGGGAAGTAGACCCAAGGATCCCAGAGGGGCAGGATGGCAGGGGCGGGTGGGAGGATAGACAGGGGGGACAGCTGCAGCATCCATATAGTCAGTTGTAAAGGTGAGCAGATTGCCAAACACCCAAATTTTGTTCATGTCACACTGCAGGGTTGCTGCATTGGCCATAACTTTGGGAGCAGCTCATAAGTCCGTTTGTTCAGCATCATAATAATTTTGAATAGCTGCTGAATGAATGGTCATAAAGTCTGCTGTGTTTCCCCGAAAATAAGACAGGGTCTTATTTACTTTTGACCCCCAAAATAAGCACTTGGCCTTATTTACAGGGAGGTCTTATTATTATTGAGGTGCAGGAGGCAACAATCGTGGTCACCTCATGGCTGCGGCTGTGTTGCAAGATTTTTGGGAGGGCTTATTTTTTGGGGAGGGCTTATTTTAACGCATATGCTCAAAAGCCCAGTTGGGCTTATTATCCAGGGAGGTCTTATTTTCGGGAAAACAGGGTGGCTTGTGTGCTTGAAGCCATACCAAAGGATCTGGAAAACTACTTGGCATGGTGATAGAATGGACAGAATCTCCACACGTCCGTTTCGAAATTTACATCACTTGGAATGGCAGAATATTTCAACAGTGATTTTAGCTGTTCTAGATCTCGTCCCAAAGGATGCATTTTCCCAAAGTTCTGAAGAAGCTTCTTCGATGAGATGCGAAACAGTTTCAAAGCAAAACAAAAACAAACAAAAAACGAGAGAGTGTGGTTGCCTTTTGGAAAGACCACCTTTGGGACAATCATGACCTTGAGAGTCTCCCTAGACACTTGGGAAGGATCCGGTGATCAAAAGTATCAAATCTAGTCAGAACCATCTGGTAGATTATATGTAAATAAGAACAATGACAATATTTTCAGCATTAACTCCTAGGCATTGTCTGGACAAGTTCCCGTAATTTTCTTTGCAAGATTTGCAAAAATGGTATGCTGTTTTCCTTCTTTCGAGAGCTGAAGGTCTGGTCCATGGTCCACCTACCTGGTTTCGTGCCTAAGGCAGAATGCAGAATCTCTGGTCTTCAGTGTGTTATCCACTGCACCAAACTGACTTTTGATAATGCAGTACTGTGGCTACTTGCCCTTCTGCATGGAGTAAAGTGAGATTTGCTGATTAATGCTTATGTCAGGGTTCCAAATACTATCCAAAATTAAATCAGAGTCTAAGGCAAAGCATTGCCCAAAGTTCCAATTTATTAAGAGAGCCATGTTGGCACATCTGGGAAAACCCGAATCTGAAAGCTTCCTGGTTTTCCCCACCCAGTTGAAAGTTCAAGATCTTGCTCCGCACCCACCAGCCCATCACATGGTCCAATCTTCTACTGCCATTCTGACAGTTCCACCCATCCAGTTCCAGTCAAGTGCAGAGGCGCAGAGACAAAGGATGACCTTG